GCCGGTCCAGGGTGCCCTATGTCTGGAGCCCATAGCTAATTCTCCGACCTGTTTTGCAGAATCTTGGTTCTTCTCCGGCTCTCACTCACCCCGATAACGCAAGATCGTAACTCTTGGACATCGTAGCAACAGCGCACAGCTGTAGAGCATTGTGCAAGCAAGCGAGCTCACAGGTCATTCGATGCATAGACGTACCATGACCTACCTCACACCCTACTCACCCGTCAGCCCACCCATATCACATTTCTCCATAGCATACACCGTCAAGTGGCCTATTTCCTTACCCTCATTGTAGACACAATTGATTCACGTTACCTTGCTTCTCTTCTTTCTTGATACCATGCATGATTTACGAGCTTCGACCAGGCGAGATGAAGTGATGAACGTGGCGGCGATGTCCGACCCCCACGGTCGCGTCACCGACGTCAACGGCCGGTGCAAGTGATGGCATGGAAAGGTATGGCATGACATTGTCGACAAGTAACATGAACTGTTATCCAGCAGACATCTGCTCAGTGCCAAATCACATCGCCTCGCAACGATACCGAGAGGCCGTATATCGAAGAGTGGTCCAGTGGTAGCAAGCATGATGGCGCTTACTCAATCCCCTACAGCAACGTGAGTCCAGCCTTTCGCCAATCCGCACATCAACCCTTCCTCCGACACCGCTACACTCCTACATTTCATCAACCTCGCCCGAATGTCTACTCTCCTCCTTCGAGACCGTTCGAGCTGATCGTATCGAGGTCAATGTCTCTTATGCTGACTCTGCTGATGATCGTCTTTACTTGCTTCTGATTCTCCATCAATTATCCGCGCCGTCCTGGTCCGTCGATACAGATGGGATACGATCCAGAATGTGTTTTATCGGAAAGAAGAGGTATATACCATGTCATGGCGAGTGTCAGACTTGTCTGATTATCTCGTATGTGCCGCTAAGAACGGGGGGCCTATTGGTGAGCTTTCTCGCTTTCCTTCTTCGGCTGTCGTCACCTTCACGAGCCCAAATTTCAACAACACTTTTCGTCTGGGACGAACTACACATATGGGCAATCTCATAAAGCAGCTTCGTCCGTGAAACGGACTCATGGGATTGGTCTGGATCGTGCGCGGGTAGACGAGCTGAGCTGACTTCTGAGCCTCTTCTTCTGCAACCGATACAATCGACCCGATCCGACATCTCATTTACTCTTTCCTAGCAATGATCCGAGACGACCGAAAGCTGCTTCTGTCATCCAAACACCCCGGCAAGCCCAAAATCCAGATATACACCTCCTCCGGTCTCCCTCTTTCCACTATTCCATGGGACCTATCCCCGCCCGTTCTCATCCACCTCACTGTCACTTCGTTGATAGTGCTCACGGACGAAGGGGTGTACAGGGTCTATGATCTGTCAAACACGGCTAGCTATAGGCAGTACTCTCTAGGAAGCGATGCCGAGTCGGGGGTTGTGGAGGCCAAGGCATGGGAAGAGGGAATGGTGGTTCTGACGGGGAGTCTGGGATGGTTGGAGGTGAGGGGATGGAATGGCGGTAGAGCGATCCCGATGGCGGCGATTGGTGAGTGAACCAGTGTGGCCGATTTCCAATATAGGACCGAACCTACTGTTCAGAGGTCGTGACCGGAAGAGTGGCTCAAACTGGAGGCTCGATCAATTCTGAAGAAGTAACACGTTGATACAATCTTCTTTCGCTCGATTGTGACCCGACCTATCTAGGCCTCACCGAGCCCCCCTCCGCTTGGACGCTGATACCCCCCGACCAATCGCCAACGGGCCACGTCCAGCTCCTCATTTCCACTTCATCCACCATCGTAACCCTCGACGCCCTGGAGCGTATCGACCAACGTATATCCCGCGGACCCTTCTCTCACATCCGCGTATCCCCCAACGGCCGCTTCTTGGCGCTAATCACGATCACAGGAGCACTGTGGGTCGTATCCTCGGATTTCGGTAGGAACCTGTCCGAGGTGGATATAGCGGAGTTGAGCGAGGGAGCCGGTATGCCGGAGAGAGTGGAGTGGTGCGGTGATAATGCTGTGGTATTGAGCTGGGGCGGGAGAGTCGTTGTTGTCGGTCCGGCGGGAGAGTCGCTCAGGTGAGCCTTCGTTTGTAACTTCAGCGATATCTGAAACAGTATCTGACCATCCGACACGGTTGACCCCAGATATGATCACCCACCGGCTGTACATCTTGTTGGCGAGCTAGACGGTCTACGGATCATCTCTTCATCGACATGCGAGTTCGTCCAGAAAGTACCCGGTACGTGAACCATGATCATCATTCTCCTCCGTACGGCCTTTTTTTCAGATCCAAGCATGCCTGTGTCCGGCACCGCTAACGACCTCTCCCGTTATGGTGCAACCACCATATCATAGACTGCACGTTAGCCGTATTCAGCCCCGGTTCCTCGCACCCCGCTGCAATCCTCTACGACGCCCTAGATCACTTTGACCGAAAGTCGCCCAAAGCTGATGAGAGTATACGGAGTATCAGACCGGATCTGGCGAATGCGGTGGATACGTGTGTCGAAGCTGCAGGGAGGGAGATTGAGGTGACTTGGCAACGACGTCTGCTCAAGGTGAGTCTGCGAAGCAAGGCAATGCGCTGCGTCAGAAATTGATCTGATTTGCCCGGCATCGTTCAGGCAGCGCAATTCGGTCGAGCTTTCATGGATCTGTATAATCCTAGCGATTTCGTCGGAATGGCTCAAACGCTGAAAGTGCTCAATGCCGTGAGATATTATGAGGTGGGAATACCAATCACATATGAACAGTAAGTACAGCGAGAGCTGATCGATCACGTATGGAAGTTATCTCCTTTGGGGTTCTCTTCTGACGGACTTCGCTTGCCCAGATATATCGCCTCATCCCCTTCCGTCCTGATAGCCCATCTAGTCTCTCGTAATCTGCACCTTCTCGCTCTCAGAATATCGCAACATCTGGGCTTCCGGCCGGATCCCGTGCTCAAACATTGGGCTACCTCCAAGATCGCCCGCTCCTCCCAGAATGGCGTGGATCCATCTGATAGAGGAACGGGCGACGATGAGAGTATATGCCGAGCGATCGTAGAGAAATTTGAGAAGGAAGGCGAAAGGGGGGTCAGTTACGCTGAAATTGCCAAGAAGGCTTGGGAGAGCGGTAGGACGAGATTGGCCACTATGGTGAGTGAACTGTCATTCAGCATATCCTTCGGCATCAGTCCTTAGGAGCACTTTGGCTGAACATGTCTCGATGCCCACTCAGCTGCTCGATCACGAGCCGAGGGCCGCAGAACAGGTTCCGCTGTTATTGCAGATGAAGGAGGAGAACATTGCTCTCACGAAAGCGGTAGACTCGGGCGACACTGATCTGGGTCAGCAGGCTACCGAAACTTTGGAGGGAGTGCAGGAGTACCATACTGACCTGCCATGAATATCTACAGTATACCAAGTCCTGCTCCACCTTCGCTCATCCTTGTCACCAGGTGACTTCTTCCACCTCTTGGACGATTCGATCTCGCCCCAACTACGCCCGGCCGTCAACCTCCTGCAGGTGTTTGCCAAGCAAGCGGATAGAGGTCTGCTGAGAGACTTCTACTATCAGGACGACAGGCGGACAGAAAGTGCTTGTCTGGAGCTCGAAGAGGCTGGTCAACAGGACGTGAGTGTTGAATCGATGGCGAAATCCTTTCGAGAGAATTGTCACCATGGGTGTACTTGGCTGATACACGGCTCGTCTCGGCTCGGTCCAATCAGGATGCAAACGAGCGCCTGGAGCATCTTCGAAGAGCCGCCAAATCATTCGGCGAGAGCAAAGACCGCCTGTTCGAAGCCAAAATGACAGAAGACGCGCATCGCTTGTTGACGTTGCAACAGTCGTACGAGCGCGAGCTCGATCATAAATTCACCTTCTCCGGGTTGTCGGTCAACGCTTTCGCTCACAAGTTGTTGGTGGAAGGGTTTGGAAAACGGGCAGAGAGAGTGAGAAATGATTGGAAAGTGCCGGATAAGCGATGGTGGTGGATCAAGTTGCGTGCGCTGGCTCAGAGGAGGGACTGGGAAGGGTTGGAAAATTTCGCGAGGAGTAAGAAGAGTCCGATTGGTTATGAGCCATTTGTTGTGAGTTGCCGTCATCCCACCTCGACTCCCCGCTAGCTATTTCCTCCCCTGGACATTCTCACACACGGCTGTCTTACGGCTTGTCCTTCTCTCTTCTTGTCTGTCCGACGAATGACTCGTTTCATGGTTGAAGACTGATTGATCTTGCCGCTTACGAAAATGACTTCCGCATCACCGTAATAGACCCACCTGCTCTCCCTCAGTCCGCCTCAACCAACACACGCAGCCACCTTCGTGCCACGGTGCGACGCAAAAGCTCGGGCGGACCTGTATGTCCTATGTGGTGATTGGGGCAAAGCGGCAGAGTCTGCTAAGGAACGTAATGATCGGACGAAGCTAGAGTGAGTAGAGTTAGCACACTCTCACCGCTTATGAGGGCGGTGGCTCCTGCTCTCGAGTCAAGATCGGATGGCGAGAGTTGTGGCTGATGTTGTGAGACGTTTCCAGACAACTACGACGTGCGGCTCCGAATGGCATTGCTCAACGAGAGGTAGACGAGGTAATACGGCGCGTGGGCAAGTAGGCAACGAGCAAACGGTAGTCTCGCGAATACAAGTAGAAGTCTTAGAGCGACTTGAGCACAGCCTCATTGACTCGCTTGCTTACGCGTTCAAATAAGCCTGAGAATAGACTGTACAAGCTAATGATGTGCTGAACCTACGGAAAGAGACGGATGGACAGTGTTGTATATGGACATAATCGATGCGACATTATTGCGCAAATGACAAGATGGCACTGGCTGCGATCATGAGCAACGATGAGACCGAAGGAAAGGACTTCATCTGCATCTGCATGAGCGGCCTGATCGCTGACCCTGCCCCGACATGTAGGTATGAACTACATTAGTGATGAGACATTGCATGCATTCGAAGTACCGGGGGAAAAAAAAAAACACAAAAATATTGGAGGAGCAGGGAATTGAACCCGGTACCTCGTCAAAACCTTTCGAATCGAATTGATTGAAGATGCTAATGACGCGCTCTGCCAAATGAGCTACACCCCCAAGATGCTCATGTTTTCCCTTCTCCCAGAAAGATTATATCGCTTGTTCGAAGACAGCTCTTTGCAAAACACCTGTGGCTTGTCGGTTCAGATCCTTTCAGCTACGTTTGTGCACTGCATGTGGGTCAATCTACTTACATGGTGCTTTCCAGACGCGTCTGAGATTATGTGCTAATAGCTCTGAGTACGATACAGGCGACATTGGAGCGAGCCGATCGTCAGCCTGACAAACAACAGTACTGGTGGATGCTCGCAGTACCTCTCGCGTGGTTCGCCCTTGCGGAACGACACTTCAGCTCGATTTCGCTCTCAAACATCTAGTGTCGTTAAGCAATGTACAGGCATGAATAATGCTCACCTAGACGGACGACGATACATGGGAACGAGGACAAGAGAATGACAAAAAGGATCCCGGGGGTAAGGATGAAAAGATGAGACGGACGAGCCGCAAAAATAATCTTCCTGTCGGAGAATCGAACTCCGATCTCCCGCGATCATCGAGATGATGCTCATGATGACAAGCGAGCATACTAGCCGTTATACGAACAGGAATTCGATGTTTTCCTTTCTTTTGTAAAACTCATAATCGGCAAAAAGCTGCTTCGACTGCAATGCTCGTACGATACCGTTAGACGCCCTGTCCATGATGCATGAATGACATTCTCTCAATCGAACCCCCTTGCCCTACTAGCTCGGTGACCATGTGCTACGTTGGCGATATCATGAATCGTGGTACGCAAGCAGTCTTCCACGGGATATCTCACGGAAACTCCCGCGGAGCGTTGTGTGTCTAGGCTTGAGGATTGTTGCCAGATGCGGCGGTAGATGCAGTTCCTGCGGTAGCAGAAGAAGCTGCGGGGCCGACGGTCGATTTGGTCGTGGCAGCGTCTGCCCCAGTAGTCGTGGAGGTATCTACGGCTCGAGATGAGCAATAACTAGATACAGGTGAGTTGCGCCAAAGATGTCAGTTGGAATGGAGAAGGCTTGTGTTGCGAACGCTTGAAGACAACTTGGGCAAGAGGATGTTTCGCTTACCCGTAGGATCTGTTCGTAGACCAGAAGGAACTTTGAGCGGCAGGATTAAACGCCTGTGAGACGTGCTCGTTACCATCTGCATCAAAGACCGAGACTGAGTAATCAGTATGACTGGCTGAGGAGGACATGGTGGAGTATTGTATCGGAGACAGTGTGTCGCACTAAAAATTGGCGAGAATGTGAGTGTGAGTGTGAGTGTGAGCGTTGATGAGTAATAACTGTACTGCTACCTGGCGCTTACGACTTGCGCTTTTTATAGCTGTCAAGTGCTGGAGGTTTGTAGCTTACTACACTGGTCATCGTCGTGGAAAGTATTCTTCTCATGTCTTGCCTTCGGCGCTTGACATTGGATGCCGTACTGTAGGCCGCCGTGCAGCGTGTTCTACTCATGAGTGTAGGCGTGGTCTTCGAAAGGAGTCGAAGGCAGCCTCTCTGGAACCGGGCGAGTCTCCGCAGTGCCTCGCCCTTGTGAATCAAGCTTTTAAGCGTTGTTCATTGTGTGTGGCTCCGAGAAGAACCATGACGTGCATAGCAGGTGGTCCACTCGCAGCGTAGTTCGGTTCACTTGACCACACGGTTCTCCGTTCATGGGAGAACAGGCGATCATGAGAAATTTCATACTATGGTCAGGAGTGAGCGGAGCATGCTGAGTCGCTTTCCCTCCGACGCTCTTCGGAATATGCTGGTCTCTCCGCGCTGAATGCGACTCCGAAGGTCTTCGCTATTTTGCCTGGATAGAGCTGGGAACTGTCGTTCAGCAAGGAAGTACGCCCTTCTCCTCGGCTATGCGGCGCTGCTAATGATTCTCGCTTTCAGGTCTCGAAGCGTAGCCCCCTGGCTAGTGCCGTCTGCGAAGGCGCTCCCAGCAAGCAGTAGCAGTTGGAAGCCTGCTGGTATCTGCATGCGAAAGCTCACGAAGACCTGTTCAGGAGCGGCTTCGCATATGAAGGCGGAAAAAGTCTGACGATATGGTCTTCTATCATTCAGAGCAGCGTAGGCAAGGAGTTGCGAGGTGTGAGTGTGCTGACAATGTCTGATATAGTTGGCCATCTTAGTCATTTGATTCATATGCGAAGGCTTTCGTCTCGATTGCCGAGAGAGTGGATATGAAGCACCAATAAATTGAGCTGCACCAAAATGTCGGCTCCTTCCTGATAGCGCATCTAAGAAAGGAAGGGTATATCATACTGCAAATTGGCGCTTCTGACGGAATCGAAGAGATATAGCCGAACCATCGAAGGCGAGCACTGAGATTGTGAGCCACAGCCATCGCCTGACAATCCGAGCGTGATGCACGCCACTGCACACGGAGTGCACAGCGCCAGATTATGGTGGTATAGAAGCGAATCCTTCCCGGCTTCGTCCTGTGCTATTATGCAGAATGTCTTCCGGTCTGGACCTTTCGCTTGACTTGACTTGATTCAAGATTCGGATGCCGAAGGAGGCGCCTTCCACAGGCAATTATTTGGCGGTGGCGGGGTATTCCTGTGGTAAGAATTGCTTATCAGGACCGCTGATGACGCTCTCGAAGTTTGGCTCAATCCAACACAGTGCTTCAGGCTTTGTCAAGGACATGCTTGACCTATCCTAATGACAGCATTCGTATACGAGTATTTGGGGCTCTTCGTTTGCTTCAGTTGTCCCAGTCTAGCCACCCACCGGATCGATCGATCGCATGTATGCCACGTGGTATGTTGGTGCACCGCACCAATTTGTTGGTTTGAAAAAGTTGACAACCTCTCGATTCTCTCCTCCACCCTCTCGATTACTTGCTGCTCCCCAGTTATGTCTGAGAGGACCAGAAGCTCTCTAAACGGATAGCTGCATTCACTACCTGTCACATACAGCATCCCTGTGGTTACTGGATATTGACCTGCTAGAAACACGCCCACTTACTGGAAAAACACCTCACAAGAAGCGAACGAGAAGCGAGGCAAGCACACGACATGGATGCACTACTCGCTTCCGCTGGGCCATTACCCAACAAGAGATCCAACAAGGGCAAGAACCGATCCGCTTGGACCCGACCTACCGGACCTACCTCGCATCAAACCATCACACGCGCCGACGGCTCCCAGATTGACCCATCTCTGAACTCCATCCTTCCCTCAACGAGACTACCATCATCTTTCCACTCTTCCAACCTAGCGACTGGCTCCTCGAGCGCCCCTTTCAAGCCCGACGCTGGACTGGGTCGAATCGGCGATAAGAAACTGCGCTCGAAGCTCGCTCGTCAGGATGTGGGAGCCAAAAAGGCTAAACAAGAACGAGAAGACGTTGACGAGTGGCTGAATAAAGCCGTCTCGGGTGGTAAAGGCGGCATTGAGGTGGATGAAGAGGAGGGCGAGAGGACTTGGAGAGTCAGGCAGAAGGATATCGTAGATTCGGTCGGAGTGGGAGTCAGCGGGAAGAAGTTTGATCTCAAGCTGGAAGATATGGGGACGTATCGCGTAGACTACACAAGGAATGGAAGGTGAGTGTAAGCAACTCCTTGAGCTTGGCCAGTGCTACTTGCGCTACACTCCTCTCTTTCTTGCTTCAAGTCCATCCGACCACTCCACCTCGGCACACCTGCATGCAAAGTGGGAGCGCATGGCCATGAGACCATACGCATACCCGCCTGAGTGAGCTGCGCTGACAGTGCACATACCATCCACAGACATCTAGCGATAGCCTCATCAAAAGGACACATAGCGACATTCGATTGGCAAGCGGGCAAGCTGCATTCAGAAATCCAGCTGAGAGAATCGGTACGAGACATCAAGTTCCTGCAATCCGAGAATTTTTTCGCTGTCGCGCAGAAGAAATACGTTTTCATCTACGATCAAGATGGTGTTGAGCTACAGTGAGTGACTGCCTGTCATCGGCGCTTCACCCCTTCCTTTCGACAAGGACGCCGGTGTGGGAGCGCTAGCCGTGATCTCGGGGCCTACGGCATATAGCAGAGCTTCCCAACGCACGATAGCAGTGAAGGATCACATTGTTACATTAGGCTACGCGGAGAAGAATGGTCGCTGATAGATTGTCTCCGACTTGCCTTCTTGCCTTCCAACCTCGCAGCAAGCTGAAACAGCACATCGATCCGATCCACATGGAATATTTACCGTATCATTACCTCCTCACCACAGTCGTATGTCTCTTTCCAACCTGCTCGACTGATCTATGCTGCTTGTCTAGTATCGTTCGGGGTTGCCCGTTAATATCAAGGTGTGATCTGTCATTCTTACGCAGGGCCATGCTGGATACCTGAAATACCATGATGTATCGACAGGTGTCATGCTCACCCAGATCCCCTCTCATCTCGGCTCGCCTCATTCGATGGCGCAGAATCCTCACTCCGCCATAATCCACCTCGGCCACTCGAATGGTACCATGACATTATGGTCACCTAATATGACCACGCCCCACGTAAAACTCCTAGCGCATCGCGGACCAGTCAACGGAATTGCTGTCGACCCGAGCGAGGGCAGTGCTGGACGATACGTAGCAACGAGCGGAATGGACGGCGTAGTGAAGATCTGGGATGGAAGGATGTGGGGCAAGGAAGTACGCTCGTGGAAGGTCAGAAACCAGATCACGACGCTAGGGTACTCGGGTATGGGAATGTTGAGTGTAGGCGGCAAGAGCGGAGTAACGATCTATCGAGATCTCCAAAGCAACACGCATCGAACACCGACACCCTACCTTACACTCCCCTTACCATCACTCACGGCGTCAGCGACCAAGTTCTGTCCGTTCGACGATCTGCTGTGCGTAGGACACGAGAGAGGAATCTCATCGCTGCTCGTACCGGGTGCCGGTGAACCGAACTTCGACTCAGCCGAAGCAGACGTCTATGAGACATACTCTAGAAGGCGAGAACGAGAGGTCCGAGGTGTCCTGGAGAAGATCCGACCGGAACTCATCACCTTGGACACCGACTTCTTGGGACATGTCAACGAGGGAAGAGGAGGCGAGACGTTCGAA